ATTGTGAGCATGGCGGCCGCGGTCTCCAGTCCGGAGGTGACTGCTGAGGGGCAGGAGCCTTTGCTGAGTCCCGGAGAGGCAGAGGAGGAGGAGAGCAGGTAGGGGCCTGTTCCTCCCCGCGCCCCTGCTTTCTGAGGCGGTGAGGCGACTTCTTGTGCCGTGGGCGGAGGGGAGCTACGCCAATAGGCGCCTCCCGCCCCTCCCTGCTCCGGGGGGTTGAGGCGACACCCCCACGAGTCGCTAGAGGAACCACCCGTGGGTGCCGAGTCTCTCTGCGTGGGTGTTTTACCCCGCAAGGAAAGCCCAAGCTTGAGGGAAGCTGCCCTCCTCGGGAGCCGGCGGAGGGGATACAGGCCGAGCCGCCCTCCCTAAGCGCTCTGGTAGCTTGGGTTCGCGGCGCCGCCTCCTTCGCCCGCTGCGCCCTCCCGGGGTCTCGGACCGGCGGCGGCTCTTCAGCCTGCCCCAAGCCTGCCCCGGGGGTCGGCGGGGGCTCTTCAGCCTGCGCCGGGTTCGGGAGCAGGAGGCAGGAGGTTCGGGAGCGAGAGCGGGGCGCGGCAGGGGCCGCTGCCCCAGCGGGGGCTGGTTCCATCTGTAAAAAAACGAACGCACTCGCTTGCGAAGTTTCTAAAAAGCATAAAAATCGATTATTGTGGTGCTGAAGTCTAGGTATTTAATAGCGCTCTTCCTGCGTGGGCAGCAGTTGAACACGTGTTTTTTCCTTCTCTCAGGAAAACAACAGTATCTTGAATGTGTAGGGGTGGCTGCTGCTGCCGTCTTTGCTCAAGCGTTCTCGTACTTGAAGCGTACTGCTTGATTTAACTAAAATCTTGAAAGTAACCAAACATAGCATATGCAAGAGTTTGACTTTTTCCTATGCATGGAATGGGATGGGTAATAAGATTACAAAGTACATTTAGAAACATTGTTTGTGTGGTTAAAGTTTCATTGAACCAAGACACTTCAATGGTGTAAACATTTCTGAAGAAATAAATGTACAAATCGTGCTGTGTAATAGCTACATTAGCTTTAAAATTGTGCGTATGCCTAAGTGTGTGTATGACCTCTATAAACAATGTTTATAAACTACGTTCAGGCGTATATAACCTAGGTCTGCATCTTTTGGACAGAGATTATTTTGTTTAGAATACTTCAAAACCAAAAGAACTGAAGAGCCCTGAAATGTTCTTGCTTCTGAAAAAGTACCTGGGTCTCAGAAGGTGCTTATGAATTTTAGAAAAATAACTTACTGCTCACAAAGTTTGTAACTTGTATTTTAATCTTTTTTTGCAGCTCTTACAATCTTCAGCAATATATTTTATATACATCTTTTACATTGTATAGTTATTTTCTCATGGTAAGAATAGACTGGCCATACCTTTTAGTTTAATCAATAGTTGTTCATGTTTGGGGTGGTTTTTTGCTTTAAAGTCGCAGTTCTGAGAAGATGTCTGGAGTTTTATGGTTTAATATGCACTTCTTAAAGCCTTTACATATCTGGGATGCTCCAAAGTGTCTATACAAAGAGATTACAGAATTGAAGATCTCTCTAGATAAAGATCTCTTTGTGTAACATTTGAATGCAATGCTACATGATAACATTTCTTTTAGTTATTTGATTTGTCAATCTAGTACTTTTCAGTGAAAAATAAGCTTGCTTCTAAAATAAATTCTTTGTATTCTTTGCTGTGTGGAAGCCCATTCCTGCATAACAGTTTACACAGTTGTATTGAGGGGTTTGTGAAAAATGTTTTCAATGTCCTGTGGGAACAACTAGAAGAGAATCTGATAATGATTTCTTTCTTTCTTGACTCTTGGTTCAAAAACAGGGATGTTGTGGAAACACAAGAGCATTATAAGAGCAGGTGGCGATCCATCTGGATTATGTATCTTACTATGTTTCTCAGTAGTGTAGGTGAGTAAACACAGGTGGATTTCAATGTTATTTGTTTAATGAATGTATTTTGGTTTGAAAATTACAGGGTTTTCTAGATTTCAACTACATAGCTCCTTTAACGCTGCTGTTCTTTTATCACCTTAAAAAGGTGCATTTTCTGATCCTTCAAAAGAGAAGATATGACTAGCAAATCAAACAGAAAAGTACATTTAATAAGATAAGTTAAATAACACTCTGTTTTGAGACTAAATGACGTATTACTTAAATCTTTGTTTTATGGCTTTGTAATGGTTCGGGGTAAAAGGTAATGGCAGAGTGAGGTTATTGCTCAGAACCAAACAAAACAAAGGTCACACGTCTATCATCCAAAGTGAAACTTCTAGGGAATGAAAATAGGAATAATGCTGAGTTCTTAAGAGGTAAGGTCCTTGTGGGAATGTATGTTACCTGTTTCATAATGTGTATGAGAGCTTGTTTTCTCCTATGGGATTTTGCATCTCCACTACAGAAAAAAATTACTGTTTCATTCCTAAATAACTGCCCCTGGAAACAAGACTTCTGGTGATTTTTGACTTCTGGTGATTTTCTGTGGGCCTAGAAATTATCTTGAACATCATAGGATACTTCAGTGATTATTTTTTTTAATTTGATGAATTAAAATTTCTTTGATAAAGGAATACAAGTATATCAGTATATCAAGAAATTCTTTTTACTCTGGGGACCTTGTTGTCTTTCCACTGGGAGGAAAAATCCCATGCAGTTTGCTTGGCGCATCAGTATTCTTTTCATAGGAGGTTTTTTGTTTAGTGTGTAAGCACCTATAAAATGTCCTTTTAAAAATATCTCCTCCTGTTAGGAGGAATTATCACTCCTTAAAAAAAGCATGTAATACATAGTTTTTTCAGGTGACAGACTGATGCACAGTTTTAGACTATAATACACTTAGGAGCAGAAGAATGAACCTGTAATAACTGTTTCAGTAAAGTGAATTACTGGTAACCATGGCAAATAAAGTAACTTCAGTTATGTTTTTACTGCATTGCAGGTTTCTCAATTGTAATTATGTCTGTGTGGCCATATCTCCAAAAGGTTTGTAAATATGGGTTTTTTAATTAATAAGAACAGGAAACTCCTGCTCAGAAAGTATGTAATACAAAATTTGGCATTTTATTTAGGAAAAGAAACAGTAAAGGGAAGTGGTTATGAGAGACTTGTATTTTGCCATCCACTTAGACAGCTTTCATTATTTCATGTAAAATCTGTCGGTTGATTTCCTGAATTGATAAAGGTAAATCATAATCCAGAAATGTTTGGTTTTCCAATATAATTTCACTGTTTTCTTGGACAGTGAATCTATAGAAATCTCTTTATCTGAATGCATTTGTAGTGTTAAACATAATACACAAGGCTTGTCTGTGTTTTGGAAAAAAAGGAAGCTGAAGGTGGAAGTTGCTCTGTAAATGTCAGATTGTTGTACGTTGACCTTCTTGATATTCTTAACAGGGAATTGCCTGTGTTCCTGTATAGTGTTTTTAGTTGGGGTTTTTTTTTCCCCTTCTTTGTTGCGTTCTTGTTAAAAGTGGCATAAAAGGTCTCTCAAACTTTAACTTAATCTGTGCTAGGATTTTACTGCTCCTGGAATGGCAGAAGGCAGTTTCAAATGCAAATTTGGAAGAACGTATCCTGGGCAGGGTCCTAGAGGTATCGTTAAAATTGAGGCTGGTGCTGAATTCTTGGAGAAGAAAAGATAATGCATCATCAGCATTGTAAATCAGGACAGATTCAGGCATGTGCAGAGATGACTTAAGTGATTCCTTGCTCCTGGCATGTAAACTGTCTAACTGTACTGCTTAAGTTATGTCTGTAGCCTATAACATCAGCAGTGCTGTATGAAAACTGTTTGTTTGCTGCAAGTAAGCCATTTCCAGTCTCGGAAGTAAAGTGCTTTTTATTGGTTTGGTGCATTGCTGGAGACAGTTAGCCAAGGTTTATTGCCCCCAACAAAGTACTATGTGAAAACAACTGCTTGTGAGACCCAGAGTAGTGTATTTATATTAAACACCGCACGATGCCATGCAGACACAGTAACTTGTTCAGCGATAGCTTAGGTTTGACACTGCATTGCATAGTGCCATATAGCCTCAGAATTACAGTGCAGAGTCTTAGGTATTTCAGGTACTGATACTAAAATGGTTTTGTTGATATTATAAAATACTATAATACTTTACCCATAGAATTGATTAATTTGTTTCTGCAGATTGATCCGACAGCAGATGCGAGTTTCTTGGGCTGGATTATAGCTTCATATAGCATTGGCCAAATGGTTGCCTCTCCCCTGTTCGGCTTGTGGTCCAATTACAGGCCAAGGAGAGAACCTCTCGTTGTTTCAACGGCTATTTCAGTAGCTGCTAATTGTCTTTATGCTTATGTCCATGTACCTCATTCACACAACAAATACTACATGCTGACTGCACGTGCTCTTGTGGGATTTGGAGCAGGTAACCACAGCAAAATTTACATTTCTGAAAATCATTAAATTCTGTCTTGTGTAAGATAGTTAACATGATATTTTAGTACCAGGTTTACCATTATGTGAATGATAACTTATTACTTAACAAAGCAAAGAGTTGGCCAATACTAGTTTATAATAAAATTGTGTAATTGTGCAGTTGTGTATAAATACTAGAGGGAGTAGTGCTGGGTTTTATTTTCTTGCAAAATAACAAAAAACCCCACCTAAAATAAATGTAACCGGATAATTTAAGAATGTAACTTGGTATTCACATGAGCACTTTCTTGGTTCTGTTTTTTTTAAGGAAACGTGGCTGTAGTTCGATCGTATATTGCGGGTGCCACTTCTCTTACGGAAAGAACAAGTGCCATGGCCAATACCAGTGCCTGCCAAGCCGTTGGCTTCATATTAGGACCAGGTAAACCATATCTTCTTTCCTCAATTCTCTAATACTTTTTAGGATGAAATTGGGCATTGGAAGTAGGAATCCTCAGCAGCTGTATGTTGGGGATTTTAAGGCATAGTTTGTCAGTGGTATCAAAATTGAATAAATGGGATCCACTCATATATACTTGTGTATGCCAATATAAATGAAATATTCTAGTCCAAAGAAATTCTAATTGTTTGTAGTTAAAAACTACTTGTTTTGGACTGCTGGCTGCAAGAAAAACAAGTTCCAGGATGCTCTCTTGTACCAGTGCCCACTGAATAGTCTATGACCAATTGCACTTTATTCATGGAGAAGGGAATTTAACATTACTGTACTTGGGCAAACATTTCCACCTTTCCGAAATGACTGAAAATTTCACCTTGCCTCACATGTTGTAGAAAATAACGTCCAACAGATCTTTCTGATCTTGTAGCGACGATCACAAAATCTTCATATTGGCAAAAATTTTAAGACATAGCACAGGTATTACAGAGAGCTAAGGGAACAAAGAGCTTCAGGGGTGTTTGTTAGATCAGACATAACTGTGGCTCCTGAGATACTATGTCTGCTTCATAGGAGAAATGCATTAGACTTGCCTTGTGGTATAAAGAGAGACCAGCGATTTTCTCCTAAACAGCCTCTACTGATTACTTATCTTCTGTAGCTGGAGATTAAGATTATCCAATTAGTAGAGCTGAGTGTTCTATGTATAGTAAGATAATGAAGTGAACGTTTAGGGCTTAAAGTTTTTTCTCCAGTTGGTTATTACTAGTGCTGTACATAGAGCATTAAAGTGGCTACAGCAACAAAAATTCTGCATTCTTTGTGTGATTTGCATAGATTATAAGTTTAGGTAATTCCCTTTCCTAATTTGATAGGGACTCTCAGTCTGTCTCCTAACAGTAGTAAGCAAATGACCTGATCTTACAATCTTTTGCTCTGCACCAATTTAAATTTTATTTAAAAAAACCCCCACAACTGGTTTTCTCTCTAGCTTGCCCTTAGCAGGAGGGCTAGTCCAGTCCCAGGACCAAGGTTTTCCATATAGGAGGAAGAGTAAAAAGAGTAAATCAGCTGTCTGCACATGGCCAAGAAAATTAACCACTGGTACACTCAGAATTCAGTTCCAGTTCTTGAAGTGTCATGCTGTTATTTATACAGTGTATTTGTATGTAACCAAGTAGTTTTCTGGCTAGTTGAGATCCCACTGGTACCCATCAGTTTATTTAAAGTAGGATTCTCAAAACGTAAAAGGTTTGACAGGTATAATATTTAAATTTTACTTAGCAATTAGAACAACTTTGCTTATCCAGTTTTATATGTTTATTCTATATGTGTTCTAATATTTTCTTAATGATTCTCAAGATTTTTTTAATACATTTATGTTCTTAAGTTTTTCAGACATGTTTTACACTTATTGGAGAAGAAGGAATAACATGGAAATTAGTTCATCTTCAGCTGAACATGTATACAGCACCAGTTTTATTTGGAGCTCTCTTAGGAGTTATTAATATTATTCTCATCTTTGCCATATTCAGGTAATCAAGTGAAAAAAGAGAAATATTGTACCTTGTTTTAGTGGGTGGTTTGTAACAAATAATATGCTGCTGAGAAGGAGGAGTAATAAGCCTGAAATCTGGAGCGCTAAAACTATAAACTGTTATTTATTTTTCTACTTTTCTACCTGAAGAAGGTTTCTACCTTCTTTAATACATATCTTTTTCATTATGCTCATAAATTAATCATAGTGATGTTACGGCTAGAATGTAAACTGATGAAAATAGTTAGAGCTGTTAGATTATTAGCTTAGCCTTGATATCTTTTTAATGTTGATGATTTCTGCTCATGTTTTCTTCTCTAAAGAGAAATAAGGTTAGCTTGTCTGTAGGGTTCTCACCATCTGTGTCTTTCCTTTTAGAATCTCGAGGGGGATCTTTATGCGTTATCCCATTGGTGGCAGTGTGGGGAGGGGTGAGATGCACACAGATATGTGAGATTCTCCCACTAGAATATTTTCTTTCTTGAATATGGTGGTGTTCACTGCAGTCAAATGTAGACTACACAAATGATGTTTGAAGGAGCTGGGAATAATTAGAATATTATATTATGCCATTTAGACTTATTTTAATAGAAACTTGACTCAATAGTAGATCAAATAAATATGTGTATTAATGAAAACAGTTCTAAATTTCTAGAGAGCATCGAGTGGATGACATGGGACGGCAATGCAAAAGTATCAATTTTGAAGGAGAAGGTACCTATGTTTTCTTGAAAACTTATTCTGTGATTATAATTTTGAAGTACTCTCTTATTACACACAAGCGTTTAGAAGTATTCTAAAGTCTGATGCATTGGGAACTCAAAGTGGAAAATAGGGTAAATCTCTTTCTAACTGGTCCAGAAATTACTTCACATCCATGTTGTGTCCAAATGTGTCCATAGTGCTGTCTGGTAGCAGAGAAGAAGAAAAAAAAAATTGTATGGATCCTTCCAGATTTTCACTCTGGAACTGTCTCTTCCAAGACACAGGGTTAAGTGAATATGGACATAAAAAGAATCTCCCTTAACTTCTACTCTGCAGTCATACTTCTCTTTAAGAGAAGTTCGAAGTTTAGATTATTCTTTTGTTTTGTTGCAGAAAGTGGTGTTCTGGATCAGGATGCAGAAGGAAACGTTGACCATGTTGCTGTGGTAGCAATCAATTTTCTTTTCTTTGTCATCTTGTTTGTGTTTGCTGTCTTTGAAACGTAAGTTTGTCTATTTTCTCTTAAAATACTTAGGCATGTAACGTAGTTAGACTGGGTCCATATAAAGGCTTTTCTGTTGCACTCATTTTCTTAACCGTACTCTTCATAAATAGAAGTCCAAAACCATAAGCAATCAAATGGTTGTATACTGATACAGAGTAATGAATTAAAGATCAGTAATAACTAAAAATATGTAGCATACAGTTTGTGGTATATGAAACATTAATGTAAAAGCTTTTGGATGGATGCAAACCCATATCCTCAACTTCTTAAGTGTTAAAAAAAGAAAACAAAACAGTACCTTAACTTGGGCTACCTAAAATCTTCAGAGAAAACTGTGTCTTTAGTTGAGTACCTTGTTCTATACTTTTGTGTAATTTCTTAGCATGGTTCTGATTAGCTCCAAAAGCTCCAGTGAAGCTCTTATTTCAGTAATGATTGAAACAATTGTTTGATATAGTTAATGCAATTGTATTCTTAAATACACTATTTTACATGACTGTTTTTTTTTTTACCTAAAGTGTATACTGAAGTATACTGCATTTTTTCAATTTATAAAATACTTTGAGGATATAAAATTTATTTTGTAAGTTTTTTGAGCTCTAACGTAGCTAAAATTTCTTTTAACAATATGTGTCTGTCTTAATTGCATTATTTTTAGAAAATTGAGTTCCTAGAGTCTGGTTGGTTGCTAAAACTGAAACAGTATTAAATGATTATTATTTTTATACTCACAGGACCTGATTTTTTTTTTTTTTTTCTCTCTTGCTTTGCTTTAACTCCCATCATTTTTTCATGAACTATCAGAAATAGATTAATAATGCTTCAGAGTATGGCTGGTGTAATGCAGTTGTGAATTTTGTCTAGTGGATTTAGTTTTAATAAATGATGCATGACAGCATTAGCTTATAACTAGCCTGTGTTTTCCGATAAGCCCGTCACGAGGAAAGGCTTCTATACCACTGTGTTTGATGTTTGGGACAACATATGTATGGAAATGACTGTATAGAAGAAGCTTTTTCTTAATTAATGTAATTTTGTTCTGTCAATTTAGTATAGCTACTCCATTGACGATGGATATGTATTCCTGGACCAGGAAAGAAGCCGTTTTTTATAATGGAATAATCCTTAGTGTGGTTGGCATTGAATCGGTTATTGTTTTCTTGGTGGTTAAAACGCTATCTAAAAAGTAAGTTTTTGGAGTTTATCGGAATTTTGTTACTTACGTTAGCTAAGTGTGAAAAACTTTATAGCAAGGCCAAGTCTGCATTACTTAAATCTTTTCTTGTTAATGAATTTGGGTTTACTATGACAATTAAGTACTTCCAATTTTGACACAGCCATGATGCTGCAGTTGTTCTTTATTCTGTTAACGTAACCCCCTTCCTTGTCTGTCTTTTACCCTTGAATCACAAGAAAAACAGGTTTTAAGTTACTGTGATTTTGCAATTTTTCTTGCAGGTGTTGTGGTCGGGCATCTTTTCCGCAAACTAATGGGCTATGTCGTTAGCACCTTCATAAATTTTACTTTAATTAAATGATATATTTAATTGTAATTTCATTGTTTGATAGGACTGGTGAGCGTGCCATACTCCATGGAGGCTTACTGATTGTCTTGGTTGGATTCTTTATCTTGCTGCCTTGGGGGAAAAAACTACCAAATATCCAGTGGCAAGGTATAATTCAAGTCATACTAAGCGATCATCATAATGATTTTTGAAAGCTTTTTATTGTGGTTTTTTCTTAATGGCATGCATAACATTTTTACAGAAATAAAGAATAACTCCATTCCCAGAACAACTTCCACTGAAATGTTAATGCCTTTCTGGAGTTTGCAAGCAATGCAGCTTCCATCCAACCACACAGTGGAACCCGTAGGCTGCCCCGTCACGCAGTCCTGGTGCCTGAACACTCCTATGATCTATCTGGCCCAGTATATCAGCTCTGACATACTAATAGGATTGGGCTATCCAGTTTGTAATGTCATGTCCTACACTTTATACTCAAAAATTCTAGGACCAAAGCCTCAGGTAAGCATGGTGCCTAAACGGTTTATTTCATATGCTCTCCAGGACTTGCACCCTCTTTATTAGAATGAGGGATCTAGCTAAAATTCCTTTTGTCATTAGCCAAATAATATGACATTTCAATCGGGGCAGAAGTTTCCAGGAACTCTAATCTTTTTTTAAAATCCAAGGCAAGTCCCTAGAGGAATTAGAAAGCAAGGCTTGTACTACAATTTATGGCAAATCTTATAGTGTGAAAATTTCAGAACAAGTAAGCCCAAAGCTTGTGACTTTCACGACTGTTCTGGAAGAGTCCTTTTTGTAACAACCAGTTACATATTTGGAATATCACTACGGAATAATGTTCCTCTTACTAAGTATATTATATAAAGACTACAAATGCTACGATACCTCCAGTTATTGAAACAGTGGTGAAACACATAGCAAGCTGATATTACTGCTTAACAAAAAATTTTTTTCCTTTTTCACCACTGATCTCATTTTTTCCATGTTATATTTTGCTGTAAGAGACTAAATGCTTTGAGCCAGAATGCCTTTTTATTAGAAAGCTATAGAGTGTGTAGCTCAGTGGAGCCTTCGAATTAATGCTTAGAGAAGCTGAGCAGTACTCTTGGAAACAAAGTACTCAGTATCTTAAGTTAAGAAAGATAAGCAGTTGCTTAAACACTTCTACATTTTCTAATTAAGATAATTGGTGGGAATTATTGGCTAACCTGATAATTCCTGTATCACTAACATAAGCTTTTGATCTTCTGTAGGGTGTCTACATGGGATGGTTAACTGCCTCTGGAAGTGGAGCACGAATACTCGGGCCTGTTTTTGTGAGCCAAATATACACTCACCTGGGACCACGCTGGGCATTTAGCTTAATCTGTGGAGTAGTTGTAGTCTCTCTCTTACTCTTGGAGATAGTATACAAGAGACTAATTGCATTTTCTGTCAGATATGGAAGGATGCAAGAAGAGAATTGTTAAATATGTATTTAGGAAAAAAAAAGTACAACCAACCAGAAACAATACTTTAGTTTATTACTACTTTTTAATGAGGAGTACCTAACCACTGACCTTGTTGGCTGTATGCTAGGAACTGTAGACCTGTACTTACACATTGACAGAACACATAACTTGGTCATATCCTAATGTATGGTTACACCTGCTGCAACAGAGCTTTTGTATTCTGCTTTTCTAGCAGCAGAGGAAGGGATGTGAACAAGTTAGATCAATACAATGGCACATTTGAAGTGTGTACAGTTTAAATGATGCACCTGCGTACTGAATGCAGCTGTGAAGGTCACAGGTTATGTGCATCCTTTCCAGAAAGAAGTAAAAGAAATATTTATCTTGATTCTGTGAATCAGGATTAGTAACTCTTTTGTAACTACAAGATTAGTTGAGCTGCATGCACTTTGTATGGAAACATCACTACTTAAGTGAACCTTCTGATGTTCAGTTTGCTAGCTTGTAAGCACTGGTTAATACAAAATGTCTCGCTTTGGAAACTTACATATCAGTACATCTCCAGGATTTCAAATGAAATGTGACAGAATTGTAGAGGAAGGTAGGTGCCTACTTCACAAGCAGTTTATGCGGGATTTGGGTATGTAAGTTGGTTGAGCGCCATTGAAAATCACAGCCTCAGTGGCTGTTACTTGAACTACAGTGAACTGTATGTGCAATTTTTCTTCTACTGTTTTGTTGAATGCCTTTTTGTAGCAAGAAAGATAACCTGCACAGAGTTGAATTATGCACAGCTTTTCTTAACTTTACTACAAGAAGGAAATACTAAGCATGATAGTTTACACTTTCGTTGTCATTTCTAAGAATGAATGCGCTGTGCTGAGCAACCAGTGTTAATTAAGTAAAAAGGAGGAAACTAGCTCCTCGGGTGTCGGCTATTATTTGTAGACTTATTTTTTTCTGATAATATGGTATGAGAAACAGGAATTTACAATGCTTGAATCATTCAGTGTTTATTTTAAAAAGTAAAATAATAATTTTCCTTCATAATGGGGCCTAAGATCATCTGTATGGGTTTGTTTTATCTGTTTGAATACTACTGTAAAAAGGAGGAAACTAGCTCCTTGGGTGTCGGCTATTATTTGTAGACTTATTTTTTTCTGATAATATGGTATGAGAAACAGGAATTTACAATGCTTGAATCATTCAGTGTTTATTTTAAAAAGTAAAATAATAATTTTCCTTCATAATGGGGCCTAAGATCATCTGTATGGGTTTGTTTTATCTGTTTGAATACTACTGGGGAAAGAAAAATCTGGAATAACTCCTGTATGAGAGTTGTAGCTGCTGTTTAATGTGTCTAATATTTGATGCTTACTGAATTTATTAAATGTAATTAAGTATTCCTATGTAATCAATTGTTCAAACACTAAAAGACTACTGAATTAAAAGATTATTTTTACAATACTCTCTGAAGGGAACACAGAAGTTTTATTCTCTCTCGGGCTGTCCTGCTGCAGAATCGCAAGATGTTATGAGAAAGGACTGCTTTTATAAGCATTTCTTTTATATACTAATTCATAGAAAATAGTACCAGAAATACTGTGTTTTGGTGGTGAAAACAGACTGCAGAATCAAATGCTTAGAGTTAGAGCAACCAAAAGTTACTTCAGTCATGAGAAATTGGTGTTACTTTAAACTTGCATTTCTCATGTCTTCAAAATGGCTAACATGGTTAGGATTTTGTGTTCTACAACTCAGTTTGTGCTAAAAGTAAATATATCTTGTAGATTTTTTATTACTGCCATTCTTTAGCTAACTTCCAGCTTAAGAGTGAGAAAGTGTTTGGGTACTTGGAGGGACTATTTTTGCTGTAAGTTATTTAAAGGGCTAAGGATAAAAGTAGGTTCAAGTCTCTTATTGTGCAGTGAATACCTGTAGAACAGAGTATCCCTAAAAAGGGGTAGCCCATGCACATTAATGTGTTTACATAATAATTAAAATAAGAAAGCAAAGTTTGAATTTCTTTGGCCATGAGAGTTGTTTTTGTTTTCCTAGGTCAGCTGTGTTTTAAGCTATGGCTTGTTATGGATTATCATCCTCTCATTCTTACAAAACATGTTCTTGTATTCACAGGTAGGGCTTCTGTTTTTTCTTCTTATTCTGGTTATTAATGTAATGTAACTACACTTAAGTCACACTGCTCCTTACAAGCTAGCTAATTGTTCGTTCTAAGCATTTATGCCTTTCTGTCCTCTGGTGTCTACCTCTTAGTTTTTTTTTCCAACTATTTGTCTGTTTAGCTTGCACATCAAACTAGATTATATTATGTCTGAAGTAAAGATAGTAAGTGTGGCTGATACAATGCAAGTTTTTTTATGTGCAGTGCTGACCTACATCTTAAGGTTGACTTGCTACTTTAAAAGTCAGTTGATATAAGATTAAAGTAAAGTTTCATGTAAGAAAGCTGTATTTATGTGCATGTGCTGTATTTATGCACGTTTGTATCTACAGGTATATTCAAAAAAACCTTAAAGTCTGCGTAAGAGCTATGCATACTACTTGGTTTATCAAAGACTTGCAATAGTTATTTTACCATGCAGTCATTCCATCTGAGTATTAAGGTCCAACATGAGAAGGTACACTTCTCAACTGAAAGAGCAGTTAAAAAATACTCCTTTGGGAGAATCAGTTAAGGCTTTTTTTTTTTTTTTTAAGTGCTACTTGCATATCTTTCTTTGCAAGCTATTTCCTTGATTTGGACATGACAAAAATAATCAAAATTGTCTCTGTTAGACTACATGAATAAGGAGAACTGACTTGAAGTCAAGGCTATTTCAGCTCTAAGCTGAGCCTGCAGATTTGAAAAAGCTGTATTGGAACATCTCTTTCCTGAGGGTTTTACAGCTCAGTTTGTTGTGCCTAGACCACATGTGCAAGCCACCTTCAGCTCCTCTGAAACTCTCCATCCTCCCCCTGCACCGACACCTTTTTGGATCCCACTCTTCCACTCAGCTTAAGCCTTTTTCCTACCTTACAAGGAAGTTGGAGTATTTATCTAAGTATGAATATAAGCACCACATCAGGAGTGTTAGCACACTTGAAGCAAAATGCTTAAAAAAAAAAGCTACTGTTAATGCTACTTCAGATTGTTATCAAATGTGCTCCTGGTTTTAGTCATCTGTAGGCCAGAGGTAAAATATTGAATATACAAACCACAGTGCAGTTTTTCAGTTCAGCAAGCTAGAAGTAACTTTGTGCAACAGTTTTATACTGCTGCTCCCCCAGCTTCACCCAGCCCTAAACTCCCAGCATATGATGCTCTAGGATATCAGGTAAGCTCCTGTTATAAATTGAGCTTAATACTTAGAGGAAATAGCTTTCAATAAACCATCACTTGAACGTGAAACAAATAAGTAGATCTGGACAATTACCACTGCATTTATTTTTTTTATAAAATGCTTGTGCAGGGAAGTTAAAGCTGCTGCTACAAAAAAATAAAAACAAACAGTTATAAAACATATACATATTTACATATATTACTTGTAAGATGTAAAAATATAAGTTATTTACAAATACAAACACTTCAACAGCACAGATGCATTTTCCTTGATTGTTGGCACTGAGTAAGCAGTGGGGGAAGAAAAAGATGTATCAGATTCAGATTATTTCCAAAAAGTTGATGCTATCTAGAACTAAGTTGCTCAAAGTTTTGCTTGAGCAAATTTATCCATCATTTTGAGGAAAAATGTGTTTTGTATGATACTTTACAAGCAATTTGCTACACATAAACAGAACAACCCTTCCCTTCCTAATTTTTTACCAGGTTTTGGAAGAATTTCTGCATAAGCTGAGTAAGATCAGTCACTTTACTTGAAAGTCAGTGAGTTTATTAAGCTCTTGTGTCCTGACACCTGCTTTGCTTTAATCAGTGGGGACCAGCTGGATTGGTAAACATCACAAGAATAGAAGACAGACAGTGCAGCTTCTCTTTGATGTATTCTGGCAACTTATCGTTTTCTCCATACCTAGAGAAAGACAAATAAGCATAGAAAAATTTAGATGCTTGAAATAATCTGTTTTATTTCAGGACAGTATAATTATTTCAAAACTTGCCTGTAAATAGGCAAACCACTAAGTCAAGTAGATTTTAAGTATATCTAGACACATTAATTGGAGCTTGATGGCTTAAATCTAGGCCCCCCTTCCCTATATGTATTTAACTGAAAAAAGTGTTTCAGATTAAGAAAATATCTAAACAATGTCTAAAGCTGCAGTAATGTCTGAACAGACTGTATATTACTGTCTCAAACTTTGCACAGAAGCAGCATGTTACTGAGTGGCTATATTTGTATGGGAAGTGCCCAGTGTCCAAAAGATACACGAAACTTCACCTGAGCACTTCAGGTCTATGCATCAATGTTGACATGCTATCTCCCTCATCTAGCAGTGTCTTGGAAAAAAAAAAGTATTAAAACCTTATTTTTCTCCCCCTCCCTCTTTTAAATGCTATACATGACTAGTGGCTATACTCTGGAGACCAAGTAGATGCATTCCCAGCTTTTTTTAATTCGTTATCCAGAGTTCAGTCAAAGCTATAGGTGTTTCTCTTTATTTATTAAGCTTATATAAGCTAATCAACTGAGAAAAGTGATTGAAAAGCTAAGTTTTAGTATTTATAAAACAAAATTAATAGCAGCTATGAAGTTTCCCTTATACATAACAGCCTTGCACCGACAAGAAGCTGAACTATTTTTGTAGCAGTAATAGACTCACCTAGTTGTCTGGCCATCTGGAGATGTGTAAGTGATAGAAGAAACACCTGCTTGGGCTACCAGTTGGGATCCATCATTAAACTGAACCCATACTGCTCCACTGGTCAGCTAACGAGAGAAGTTGCATTATGGTTTGAGGACATAAAATACAAGATTACACACCTAGAATTTTTCTAATAATTGAAGCTGAAAGTTTTTCAGAATTGCTGAAGTGACTTGGGTATCTTGGTCAGTCTTGTAAAGATTGCAAGCATACTACTTTGGAGTAAGTAGTCTCATGCAGTCTCAAGAATCAGACTTCTAAGGCTTCAGATACTCAGCTTTGGTCATCCTTTTCAATGAGAATTAAATAAAGAAGTACCTTTAGCTTAACCACTCCTAAAGGAATTTTAAATAGGACCAAACATAAAATAGAAGGCCCATTTCTGAAAGTTCACAGCTAGTGAAAGTTCACAGCTATATACATTTTAAAGTTTATATATATAAAGCAAACTTTTTTTGTTAGGACAGGAAGCTTACTTTATCTGGATTGCAGAGAACCATTTTTTAAATCTAAAGCTGGTCCCACAGAAAGCAGAGGAAAAATTTCTCTGTAATGAAACAGCTTTTCCTGGTGTATAGGCAGATGCATTTGTGCAGATCTGGTACATATCTGTTAAAAACACTTTGTGATGACACTTTTACATCTACATTAGTGAACAGACAGAAGTTGAAAAGCCTCTTTTTTTTTTTACTAGAGTCAAATTTTAAATCTAAAGCTGGTCCCACAGAAAGCAGAGGAAAAATTTCTCTGTAATGAAACAGCTTTTCCTGGTGTATAGGCAGATGCATTTGTGCAGATCTGGTACATATCTGTTAAAAACACTTTGTGATGACACTTTTACATCTACATTAGTGAACAGACAGAAGTTGAAAAGCCTCTTTTTTTTTTTACTAGAGTCAAATTTAAATGACAGAAGACACTGAAATAGGCAATAACCACCACAGGAAAACTGTGATAACTGAAATACTGAGCTATTATTTTGGTTTCTTCTACTTATGTAGTTCACCGTGGTATTTATCGAAGATGCTTATTTGGAAGGATCTTTCCATAAACCAATTTTTGGATTTAAACTGTAGCAGAGCACAACTGAATGTATTCCTCACAAGTAAAATTTAAAGTCAATGACTTAAAAATATGTATCTCAAGTTTAATAGGAAAAAAGAAACAGAATTCCTTCCTTTATCAGTATTTATTTCTTACCTGAGAAGCCCAACCAACGTTTTTCACGAAGACAGATTTTAAAAGTTGGGCTGAATTTGGACTGCATTCTGTTTGA